CTAATATAAATATTAAGTGGGTGAGATTTAATTTCTTAAAATTATATAAAATTAAGTGGGGGAAGGGGAACAAATGAAAAAAAAAAAAAAAAAAAAAAGAAAGTCCTGAATGTTTCATTAAAATCCAACAATTATTTGGTTTTTGCAAGAATTTCCAAATCAATGTGATTTTTACTGCAAAAAAGATGCTAAAACTTTGTATACTAATCTATGACCCCCCCACCACCACCACATGCACTGATACAAGTAAAATAAGATTTGTTAACCAAAATTCCGAATGTATAAGGAAAAAATAAAAATAATTAATTAAATAATCAATACTTTAGTCTTTTCTTCTTAATAAAGATTTTGATATAACTTTGTTATCAAGTTTAGGACATTCTTTTCATCATGGTATACTCTTTTATCAGCAAATTAGTGGAGGTACTATATTTAACCTATAGCTGGTGGGATAGGAGACAAGATGAATTCATACATTTTACTAATAGTATTTTTCCAAAAGCTAATATATATATAACTCTACAATTTCTCTTTAAATCTGTGCTGCCAACCATTATACTATTTTTTTAATATATCCATTTAAATTGGAGTACTTGTTCTTCATCCTCCAAAACAATTAAAAATAAATTGTAAAATTGTCACCTAAAACACAAATATCAAATTATAAAATCTCTAGAGACCTAATTTAAACATTTTTATATCTGTTGTCTTCAATTATCATACTAAATAAAATAAATTACAGAATTATTGAGTGTGTATATGGTATGATGAGATATTAGTAGAAATTGGCCATGATTTATTAGTTAAGCTACAAAGCATAAAATGCAAGATTTTTTTTTTTTTTTTTTTTTTTTAGTTTTTGGGTTAACAAATATTTGTATTTTAAATTTATTTAAAAAAAAAATAAAATAAAATAAAATAAAAAATAAAGAAGTGAAGCAAAGCATGTCCTGACTCATTTTTGTTTTTTAAACAAAACAAATGTAACACCGCCAAAGCAGCAAAATATGTTTAATAATTTGAAAAAATTTAAGAAGCATAGGGACAGATTTTTATGACGTGAAATTGAATAATTCAAGGAAAGAGAAAAAAAAAGCACGCACATAAAAAAAAAAAAAAAAAAAAAAAAAAAAAAAGCACTCATTCACACATTAAAATGATATAAAAGATTTTGATTAAATAAAAATCTTAGTTTATTTATACAGGGAAGGATGTTACAACAGAAAAGTATGTGTGTCTTGTTTGGCTTGGATTTTTGTTTTCTTTCTTTCAAGAATGAAAAAGTGTCCTCCAAGATGTAAAATTAAACAACACATTGCTATTTGCTTGTTTCTTTGTGAGTCTCAAAAAGACAGAGGAGTGCAATAAGAGAGAGAGAGAGAGAGACCAATATTTCTTGTAATAGCAATAGCTTAGGAGGGTGAGACAAGATTGAACCCACACATGACAATACACCACTGCCTTCCTTCCTTTTTTTTTTTCTTTTCCCAGTGCTTAAGTAATCTCTGCAAACAATTTTTTTCTTACACCTTCCACAATTCAAAACATCAGTTTTTTAATCCCAAAATTGTGTGTGTGTGTGTGTGTGTGTGTGTGTGTGTGTGTGTGTGATTTTGGATGTGTGGAATATATTAAAAAAAAAAAACGATTAAAAATTGTGCACTTTTCTCTTAGTGTACCCCCCACCCTGCACACACACACACACACACACATTTGATTGGTCATTCTCATTTCATTTAACGGCTATAAACAACTGCTGTAACTCAAATACTTTTCACTCATTGTTTTCTGATACTTTCCACAGGCCATACACTACCTTCTCCAGAAATTAAGAATTCCTCAGCTGAATCCATCACAAGATGAAAATATAAAAAATCTCCAACATAATCAGTATCTACAGTTCAGATGACAAGAGTAGATATAGGAATGTACATTTTAGGTGTGTGTGTGTGTATATATAAACAAACACACACACAAACATGTACGTGCGTGTCTGCTAATGTGTGTGTGTATATATACATAGAGAACACTTACTAGATTTTACAAGTACACCAATAACTTACTTGGCCATCCTCAGGTTCAAAATCAAGCTGAATGAATGGTAACAATAAACACATACTCTAATCACAGAGTATCAAAAACACTTGGTGCCCAACTCTAATCTTTAAGGGCAGTTACAGAACCCACATCTCTACTAGCTCAGTCACATAACCCATTTGCATCTGATAACAGAAAGATTTTACAAGTATATAAATCATATAGACTGCAATGAGAAAAAGAATTGCCTGAATTCTACATGGCTGCTCCTAGATTAAGGTTAAAAAAGGAAAAGTTTTATGTGCTTACTTATACAAGTTCACCTAATTGTTTTATGTAAAATATATCAAATTTGCATGTAAGTTTCATATATGTAGAGTATTAATGACTCAATACAGCAAATGGGACATGAAAGACTTGCTTAACGAGTCTAGATATCCACTCCTTTACTCAGAGTTGCAATAAAAATGACCAAGAACTTTCTCTTCCGCTGAATGTGTTCACTAATTTACATATGATTTCTTCTTTTCTTTTTCCTGTAAGCAAATAAACACGCACGTACATCTAAGTGTATCTGCAGTGGAGGAGTAAAGTTGCCTTTAAATGTAATTTCTGTTCAAATTACAAACTTGTTAGTATTTTCAATTCAACACAAATAAAAATTGGTTGAATATGTCTACCTTTGTGTTTTTTGTGTTTTATTTTATTTTTTTTATTTTTTTACATGTTTGTTGAGTATTTAAGTTTGGGCAAACAGCTGATCTCTAGAAGCTTATTGGGTGGGTAGATAAGTAAATGAGGTATGTCATCATAAGGAATAAAGAAGGTAGGGGGGAAAAGTTCCAATTTTTTTGGTGGGTCTATCTGAATCTTAGGGGGATTTTTTTTTTTGTTTTTACAACACAAATCAAAGTGGTTCCACCAATAGAGACATATCTGCAAACCCTTCAAAGTCCAAAGTTAAGCAACACAAGAAATTTGGGAAACAAGGAGTGGGGAATTATTTTTTTTTTTTTTTTGGTAATATAGTTGGGGAAGGGAAGAATTTTTTTTTTCTTTCCACATCTCTCTTTTTTCATCTTAGGCTTCTTCATGCTTAATATACAGTTTGCATTCAGTGAGGAAATTTAAAAATATCACATTGCTTAAGAAAAAAATGAACTCAAAAATAGCAGGTGAGAATCACCGAGCCAAGTCATATGGAAGGGAGGGGGATATTGTTCATCATATTTCGGAGAAGGGGAATATTATAATAGTAACTAAACATTTTGCTTTTACTGTATCATTTTGGAAATGTTTTTTTCTTTTTGTGAAGTATTTTTGGTGGTGGGGAGGAAGACAACAAAAATATTCACTTTCATTTGAAAAAAAAAAAAAAAAAAATTAAAAGAATATGCCTAATTTATTTTCTTAAACAATTTTTTTTTTCATGAAATAAAAAAAATTAAGTTACAAACAAAAATTGAAAAGTTAAAAATTTTAAACAAAAGTTTTCTCACTCTATGAATAAATGGAAAAGAATTTTTTTATATTCCAAATGAAAAACAAATCTACTGCAGAATTGGAACAGTCAGCTATTTTTTGTTTTGTTTTAGTGTCCCAAATACCATACAGAGAGAGAGAGAGAGAGACAGACAGACACTGGAAGAGGGGGAGGGGAGAGAGAGTTGACATATTATAGTAGCATTTTCAGTATTATAACATTGTCAGGGTGAGGTATTCCCCAATCTAGACATGTAACCAATCACAAGGCTACAATGACAATTTGGGTAAAAGGATTTTAAGTTCAACAAAAGGCCTTCAAAATCAGGGAAAAATTTTGGATTTGGATAAAAATAAAAAAAAAAGTTAGAGGAAAAAGGGGAAGGGGTTGAATGCAGAAATTTTATATATATATATATATATATATATATATATATATATATATATATATATATATATATATATATATATATATATATATATTTATTTATTTATTTATTAATTATATATTGTGAATATATCATGCTTTTGTATTTTCAAGAAGAAAAAAAAATATTGAAATTTTTACAATTTTTTTTTTTTTTTTTTTTCTTTTTTGTCAAATTGTGGCGAAAAAGAAAAGATTTATAATCAGTATATTAAAAAATTTTTTTTTCTTTTGTTTCATTTGGTAAAGGGGGAAAGAGATATCACTCCACTTCCCACCTTGCAGAAAGGATGTGGGAGAAGTTGCAATAAAGGGGAGGGGGGAGTCAGACGAGGGGGTAGTGGGTCGTGTGAATCCTGCAGCCAATGACCTAACTCCCCCTCCCCACCTCAAAATCTCTGCCAATAATGGATCCTTGATTACCATTTGTATTTTTTTTTTTTGTTTTTTACTGTTTTCTTTTTTTCTTTGCAGACCTCTGACCAAAAAGCATTTCCAAAGATTGGAATATAAAAAAAAGTAATAAAAATTGGCAAAGGTTCCATCTTTTTTTCAGTTCTTCAGCCTCCAAGCCTCCTGCACTAGTTTTGCTTTCCTTCTTTTTCCCAAAATCCTTTACCATTTTTTTCGTTTACGTTTTGCTTTTTTTTTTTTCTTTCTTTTAAATGTTCTTGCCATTTTTTTCTTGCCTTGTTTTGTGTTGTTTTTCTTTGTCTTCTTCCCAATCATCAACATGTATCAGCTGATGAAGTCTAACAGGCTAGCTCCCCTAGTGAGTGAATCCCACAGCATGAAGCAGTGCTTGAGGTTATCAGTATCGGAGTTATCCTTATAGAAATCGGTGTTGTTGGTGGTAGTAGTAGTGGTGGTGGTGGTAGTAGTAATAGTGATGGTGGTGGTAGAGGTGGCAACGAAAATTAGAAAGGGTAACAACATTCGTCCAGAATGCATTATTATCATCATCAATATTGTTGTTGTTATTACTGCATACATTATGATCGTCTTCGTAAGCAGAGAAAAACATGTTGTCCTGTAGAGAGCAGACAATCCAATGTTAAGAAGTTGTGGCTGGCGGAGGCTGTGGTCGTGGCTGGCTTAGTTTCGATAATGTATCTGGACTGGCTGATGTTCGCAAAATAGTGTTCTCATATTCAAGTTGGTTGTTCTTCTCAGTTAGTTCCTTGATCTGTTCTTTCAAAACTTCCACCTCTTCCCGAACAGCAAACATCAAGTGACTTTTTACCAAATCCTAAAAGAAAGAAAGAAAAAAAAAAAAAAAAACAGATTAGCAATTTAGTCATCGTAACAAATCTTGCGGATTTTCTTAGCTTAAATAGCAACTTATCACTTCGGAAAGGAAGGAGAAATTCCTTATCATTCTTAAGCATGTGCAAAAATGGCAAAATAAATATTTTATCCATATCAAGAATTTGGATTTGTAAAAACCTTATGCAATCCAATAAAACTATTGCAGTTTATAGGAAATATGGACCCTTGAACATATTTTTAAAAGTTTGCAAATAATTTTGTTAAAATTTTGAGTAGTGAAATATGGACATGTGAGATTAAGAAAATTAACTCCTCTGCTAAGCTCATTTTAAGAGAATTAAAAGAGATTTCTACATTTTCACTTTCAGAAATTAACTTGTGGATATGGACTTTGGTCAAAATATTAAGGGAGAGAGAAATTAGGAAGTACTTACCATGGCTTGCTCTATCTTGTTGTCAATGGCTACTGTACTTGAACCACTGGAAAAGAGAATATGGAACAATTAATATCACAAGTATTTTGCAAGTAACAGTTATACAAAAAAATGAATGAATGTTTTGACATGTATATTAAAACTTCAAAGAGAAAGCCAATTAGGAAAAAATGTTTTGAAATTGTGACAAACAAAACATGGAAATTTGATGCTTATGCTTATATCAATATGGATTGAGGTTAAGTCAATGACTAAAGTTTTAAGAGAACTTACACTCATAGTTAATTATTTACTAGTGGTTATGTTTGTATAGGATGGTGGGGAGCTAAATAGTTCTCAAAATTTCTTTTGAAATTTCTTCCTGTTCAGGCTGAGAACTTTTCAGCACATTATTGCAGGGTTTAAAACAAAATGAAAAGGAGAAAAGCAAGTTATTCCTTTCAATATTTCAAGTTGGTTAGATGTTGCCTACTGAGGAGCCCAATCTAAAATGATACCTACCACTTTCAGTTATCATCTGGACCTGCTAGTAGATGTACAAGTATCTAATAGTTTAGTGCCATCACAAACAAACCTGCTTTTTTTCAAAAAGAACCATTCTTTCTTTCATCTACAAAATCATTTTCACATTTTCTGTTTTATTTAAATAGGTAAATAGACAAAAGAAAATGAAAATGTCAACACTGCCTCAAACTGACTTGTATTTACACAAAGTTTTATTTATTTTTATACACTATGCAAATACTTGGATAGCCAAATTGACAGCTTCCTTTCTATACATAAGAGGTTTAAATCCAGTTGATGGTTATGTGTGAACACACTTCAGTAACAATAGAATATAAACCAAAAATATATTTGGAGCTCAAAACTGCAATGGCTTTATAAAAATTGACACTTCTTCAAAATTAAAATTCCAAACACCTGTAGAGAAAATAAAAATGTTTCGGATTAAAAAAAAAGTGTGTGAAAGTGTCAGATCTTCTTTTAAAAAGATTTGCATGGCAAATGGACTCCATTTTCCTACATTTCAAGAGTAAGACAGTCCTTTTATGAAGAGAGGGTGTTTCTGAAGATAGGCAATATGTGCATCAATCTATGTTTGTAAATACTTTTACACTCATCTGTTTATGCATAAAAATTAAGGAGGAAGACAAGCCAATAAGATCCAAACATTAAAAGCAAACACTGATGATAAAGATGCACAAAAGATACAAGCCTGACAATAAGGAGTTCTTGTTTAGCAAACTGGAGTAAGTTGGTTTCAAGATAAATCACAGAGCAGAAAATACACTACTGAATCTATCAACTGTACATACATAGTGAATTCTGTACCAATGAGCTTAACAGATTAATAAAGAGGAAGTTAATAAGCAAGCAATAAGTACATTAAATATTTCCACTTATGTTCCTCTTGAGTGGCACAAAATTAACTTTGCTTCATGTTTCAAAACAAGAGATTTTCATTTTAGTTGTTTATTCAAATTGTATAACCAAAGATAATAAAATGGCTAATAAAAAGATGTATCATCAAACTCTCTTGATGTCATGTCACAACTTGTTTTCATCATGATCAACTGGTATGACAGGTAATATGAAAATTGAAAAAACAAAATCTTCACTTCTTCAGAGAAAGGTATCAAAGCCCTTGCACCATCCCCATTTGGGATTCTTATGAATATTCAACCACTTACATATCAGTCTCAACATGTGAAATTATGGCATGACATTTTAAAAAATGTGCATTTCCAAGTCTGTATTCAAACAAGAGCAGCAAACTTGTTTACAGAAATTTGTATTGTTAGAATCAAGGTCAATAGCAGGTGAAAGAAAGAATATTAAGAGGTGGGAAGAGACCAAAAATATAATGTTACAATCAGATTTGCTCAATTAATCTAATATATAAAGTTGTGTGTGTGTGTGTGTGTGTGTGTGTGTGTGTGTATGTAATAAAATTTATATAAATAAATGCATTTTTATTATATGTATCAGTTTGTATCTTACATATTGTCCAACTTTCTTAATAGAAATAAAATTTGCTTTTTAAAGTTTATTATGCAAATTACTTAAAAACAAAAAAAATATTTGTTTTGTCATTCATTTTCAAACTTGTCTTATGATCTTTATAGATCCTAGTGTAAAGCCATTTTCTGCAAATGAAACAATATACTACATATACATATGTCCCCGGAATAAAAATATACCATTTAATGCTCCCTCCCTAAAGATTTTCTATAAAAGCTACACATTTAACCTTTTATAAGATGAACATATTAAAAGTACAATTACATCTGAATGGCATTGTCAATTACTACATAACAGGCTTATAATGATACACATTTGTCCACTACTAAAAAAGAATTACATGTTATGATTTTGACATTACATTGACTTATCCCAAGTGAAAATAGCTGAAATAGATATTCAGCCTGGTTATATATATAAATTTAATTTTATATATTATTTTAATTTTAATCTCAGGATTTCATCCTCCTTGGGATTATCCATACAGATTACCAAGATTTTCGTTTATATATATATATATATATATATATATATATATATATATATAGAGAGAGAGAGAGAGGAGGATGGTCTTATGTCTTTATAAATATCCTGGTGAGTAAAAAATGAAAGCATCGACAAATGGCTGGGAATAGAATAAGAAATATTGTATGTCTTTTCAAAAGGTCATTAGCAGAGATAAAAAGGAAAAAAGGCCTATAAACAAAATTGTACTTTTGATAGTAGCAACTTAAAAATAACTAGCTAACTAGGCTAATTCTGTGCATGCATTTTTTAAAATCAAAATGTTTTCCACGTCATGTAGAGAAGTTTACTCACATAATTTAATATATTCTAAATCTAAAAAGCTTTATGATGTCTGAAGATAAAGCATACAGGTGTACTTCTATTTGTAGGCTATTCAATATTTCTGCTGTTACAACACTGTAATTTTTATATATTACAATATTTTCAATGATAAATCTACATAGTGTGGAAAGTTCCTTGTTCAAAAAAAGGTGTTTTATAAGAATAAATTGATAAATTGTTTGTCTGAGCATCACATGGGCTGTACAATTTTTTTAATTAAAATTCAATTAAATAGTGAGGACAAAATATCAGTAAAATGGGTTACTGAAAAATTATTTGCCAAATCAATAAATCCTTCCCACTCACCTCCCAAAATAGCATATGTTTAGTCATATTTTAGAAAATGGAACAGATCAAGAACTTTTCCACAACTCTCATTAGTAATATATTCATTTTTCTTCAGAAAGATAACATCTTTAAATTTGTCAACTTTACTTCTGGAATGAAAAACAAATTCAGAATATATCAATGCATGTATCTGCATCCTATTCATAAAGATGAAGCTTCATTACAATTTTAATATATCTTTCAACACTGCCTACAGCAGAGAATATTTGATGAATCTTCTGATGCCAGTTTCATTTGGTTCCCCCATTCAGGGTGGAAATATTAGTATTTCTCCAATTCAACAGATTTATATAATCAGCACTAAAGTGTCAAGAAGCAGTCATTATATATATATATATATATATATATATATATATATATATGTGTGTGATGTTGATACTAACAGAAAATAACAAATAAGTTTCCATTAATAACAAGCTTGTTATCATGTAACATCAGTTAAACAAAAATAACAGTGCTCACTGTCAAGCAGCAAGACCTAGTATAAGAAGACTTTGTAAGAAATGTAATTGCTTGCACCAGTTTCATACTTAGGAGGCAATAGATTCATACATTTTAATAGTTGAAATACTGCTATAAGTTAAGAAAATAAAATGTCTTCTATCTTACCCTCTCAAGAAAACTTTCCATTTTTTTAATAATTCTAAGTTCGTATATGTCGGGGTCTGGTACAGGAATATTCTTTAAAGAAGCATCTAAATGTATTCCTTCTATTGTTATGACAATTTTTCATCAGCACTCAACTGTTCTCTACTTCTAAGATAACAGGACTGTATTATGACCGATGCTAACATGGCACTGTTATTAATGATAACAACAAACTTGCTATCACATAGCATCAGTTTAATAATCAGCTGTCAATGCCAAGCACACAAAGCTGCTATAACTAAAAACAGAAATGTAAGCATGGCTGCCAGTTTCACACTTAGGCTAAATGATCATGGACATGCCTTTAATTATATCTTAAAATCTAACAGGTGTTTTATGATGCATCCTGATATACATGTATGTGTGAAACTGGCAGTCATGCCTACAATTCCTTTTTACTATCCCCTCTCTCTCTCTATCATATATATAAATAATAATTTAAATCAGCAGAAAGTAGCTAATTTTCAAAATGAATGTGTAAGGTTCATGCAGACTTGTACAAACTTGTAATAAATTAATTTCTATTTATAATGTAAACTGTGAGCAGTATGTGGAATTTAAAGAAAAAGTATAATTTACAAAAGAATTTTAAGTAAAACAAACAAATATCAGTCAATCAAATACAAGTATTTGTTACTCTACCCGTTCTTTTCTGTAGCCACAACCACAAATCCCCTATATTTAGCATTGGGGGGGGGGGCTTTATTCATTGTACAACAAGTCAAGTGGAACAGTTTGGCTTGGATAATTTCCAAACTGACAACACCTAGCTGTTTACTTAATTCAGACACTAACCCAGAGCCATATTATTAAAAAGAAGCATTACTTGCACAAAGATAAAGGAGTAGGTTGGGTGAGTTAAGACAATAGGTTTATGGCTAGAATAGAAAGGCTCAAAATTAAAGAACAATTATCAAGTCAAATTAGTACTGCAATTTGAGAACAGGAAGTGTGAGAACGATAAGACAAAAAAAATTCTGGGAAGGAGTATTGCTAAACAGTTGAAGTCTTCTTTTTTTATAAAATAATAGGTTATAAGAATAAATAGTAGATGCCTTAATATTCACAAAGAAATTTAATTAAATCATAATGTATGACAGTAACAAGAGAACAGAAATACCATGATGCAGCTGATTTTAAAGCGGAAACATTTTCGCATTTTTAAAACCAATATTAAGT